GAAAAATGAGAGAAAACCTCTCTATTTATAGCCAACAAAGGGTAAAGGTCATAACCCTTTGGAAAGAAGCCAACCTTTCAGAAAGAAGACAACCTTTCAGAAAGGTCACAACACTTTGGAAAAGGCATAACTTTTCAAACGGTCACAATCCTTTAGAAAGGACACAACCTTTCATAAAGTTCACAACCCTTCGGCATAGTCACAACTCTTCAGGAGAGTCATAACCCTTCATTTCCTGTTCACACCTTTAAAACCCAACACAATTATGCGAACAAAACCCATATTTCGACAAAATGACGCCCACTAATTATGGGAAATTTTTGGTTATCTCCATTGGGACTGGATCAGCAAAATTGGAACATAAATATGATGCTAAAATTGCATCAAATTGGGGTATTTTTGGATGGCTAACTGGTGGAGGCTCAAATCCAATTATTGATGCATTTGCTGATGCTAGTGATGATATGGTTGATTATCATATTTCTGTTGTTTTTCAATCTGTTTGTTGTCAAAAACAATATCTTCGTATTCAGGTACTATATATTCCACTCCTAAATATTCTTTCGATTTAAAAAAAGAATGACATACTTTAATTAATTTGTTTTAAAAAGAATGATCCTTTCATTTTTTTTAGCAATACTTTAATTTCAGTTTTCTACGTGACATGTTTAAGGCCACAAGATTAAAGAATATTTTGGTACATTTGACATAACTTTAATTTAGGACCACAAGATTGAAACGTTCCTTTATTTTCTTAAATTTTATGTCAAGTCAAACTAAATAATTCTTTTTGAAACAGAGAGACTAGAGAGTATCAAATGTGCTTGATCAGAAACAATAAGGACCAAAATCAAAATTTATTAATAATTGAGGGATTAAAAGTGCTAATTTCCTAATTGAAATTGTTTCTAAATATTTGAAGTTATTGAAAAAGAATCATTTTAAATGAAGCCTTGTTATTTCGATTACTCGAGTATTAGTCAAATGAGAAATTCAAGGAGAGATAAATGATAGCTTAGAAATATGCTCTTATGATCTAGGTTAGGGGTGTACAAAATCGAACCGAAAATTGAACTAAATCGCAAACCGAGTTAAATTGAGAAAAAAAACCCCGACTAGTGGTTGGTTTGACTTGGTTTGGTATTGGAAAAAAAAACCCGACTATATTTGGGTTGGTTTGATTTTAACTAAAAAAAAACAACCCGAGACCAAACCAACCCGACATTATATATATAAATTTAAAATTTTATTTTATACATAAAAATATTTACTTTGATATAATTTTTAAATATTTCTTATACTTTTTCATAGTTTTTATCTTTTAATATATTATTATTTCAAGTT